ATTATTATTCTTATTATTATTATCGCGTTTTCTCTCTTTCAGTTGTGGCCATAAAAGCAGCTGCAGTGCACAATGGACTCTTGTATTATTTTGCGTTTGATGGATGGGTTTTTTAGCAGATTGTGATATAACATTTAATTTTTCTCCTCGGAAATGTTAGAGACAGGGTTATCCATTAGCTGCACACAAGGCTGTTATTTATTAACAGTTTCATACCTATTAATTCTATTTAAATGTGTTTACTTTTTATATTTATATCCAATGTATTTTCTTTTTATGGGCCTATTTATGTTTGGATGTGTAGACTAATTAGTATCATGTTTGTCATTTGTTTTGTTGTTTTTAAAACGAACAAAAGAAAGTCCTATATTTCATAACCTGAGATCATTATATACCCTTTGTTTGAGATGTATTACAACATAATTAAAAAACAGAAAATGAGCCTTGTTGTAGACCGGTGAGGTTTAACTGTTGGGGGTAAACAATAAGAATTTAATTTAATTTAAACTCAGATTTTACACGATTATGCTCGAATTCGGAGTGTTTATTTGCGCCAAACTCTTAAATTTCCGTTGCCTCTCTGGCCAAGAGAGGCTTGCTATTCATGTCAGAATACTATTGAGTTGATAAGATGGATCATGTGGTCTCCTCCCTGATTCTGTCTCTTTTTTCTTCCTGGATCCTCTCAGGCCAGAAGCCCAGGGCTCTCTGGAAACCTGCCATGTGACATTTGGTTGCCAGCGCTCTGTCAGAAGGTCAAAGGGGGCCCCGGTGCACATTTCATGGAAATGCAGAAAGCCACTGCGACGCACAACATCCAGCAGCACCACGACTTCTTCAGCGGGTCTTTGGATGGTGTCGGTGCGTTCGGCTGCACCCGGCAAGCGGCCGCACACCAGCAATTGGCGCAAGTGGAGACGTTTGAGCGCACGTTTCCTCGGAGGTCAAAACAGCAAAACCCCAAGTTTCCTATGAGCAAAAAGATTTTCCCCTGGATGAAAGAGTCCAGACACTCAGAGCAGAAACACGGCAGGAGAATCGCAGGTCTGTATGACAAAGAACAGGCAGCAAGTGTTTCCAAATGAGGCCTTTTCATTTGCGTTTCCTCTAACCAGCTCTCTTACGCAGTTAATGGAGGGAAATTAGTTTATAGTTTCTCCTTTTCGGGTTCAAAAGGTCAGGCAGCTATTAATAAAGCTACAGTCAGACAGGAGGAAAAACACACTTTGGCTCAGCTTTTCAGCATCTAAAGAGATAAACAATCTATTTTTATAGCAGTTTTCCAAACAATAATAAGTGACACAGAAAGAATAATTCACTTGGAAATGCACATTTATATAAAAAAAATAGTTTTTAGTGGAGAAAACATCAATTAAACTTTAATTCACCTTTCAAAAAGGCCTGATGATAATCTCCACTTTTTTATATATATATATATATATATATATATAAATAACCAGAAAGTAGAAGATTGCCTCAGAGGTCTGTACAGATTGCACAGATGTGACCCTTCAGCCTTTGAATTTAGATTCAGATAAAGAACAACAGCAACAACCACTTACAACAGAACATACCACATATGCGCTAAACTTAAGTCACCATGTTTGAAATATGTTTGACCTGCTTCCTCCTCTCACTCCATATCAGATACTGTCAAACACACCACAACCTCTAACTCACTTATAAACACAGTGTGGTTTAACTGATGGCTGCTTTCTCTCTCACCATAGTGCTGCTGCTTCGAACGCCTATTGTCTGATTCATATTTATTTATTTATCCTTTATTTATTCGGGTTATTTGCTCCCTTTAATGAGCTTTTATGCAGTTAATTGAGTTTATATTTCCCCCCTTCAGGTTCAAAAGGTCAGGTGGCCATTAATGAAGCTACAGTCAGGCATGTAGGAGGAGGATAAACACACCTTGGCTCCGATTTCAGGCTCACATCATTTTTTTAGGATGGAATTTAAAGAGATAAACAACATTTTTTTGCACTTTTCAAAATAAAAGACATGTATTTATTGAGGTTAGCATGCTCTTTAATGCCTCTATACTATAGTTTAGTATATTGTGATCAAAATAATATGAATATAGTCAATTAATAAAACAGAAAACTGACACACAGACTCACTAAAAGTCATGAATAAAAAGGAGAAAGAAGACAACCTCCCATTTACAGCTTTCACTCAGTTACTCCAACCTGTTCGACCCTTGTTTGCTTTTTGCTCCACAGACTGCACCGTCAACGAGAAGTGTCCAAGCGCGACCCCGGCCTCCAAGAGGACGCGCACCGCGTACACGAGCGCGCAACTGGTGGAGCTGGAGAAGGAGTTTCACTTCAGCCGCTACCTGTGCAGACCGAGGCGGGTGGAGATGGCCAGCCTGCTCAACCTCCAGGAGAGGCAGATCAAGATTTGGTTCCAGAACCGCAGGATGAAGCAGAAGAAGGACGAGAGATTGCAGGGCCTCACCACCACCACCTCCTCCTCCTCACCCCCGTCCTCCCCCTCCGCCCCGGGCAGCCCCACTCTGTCGAGCCTGGGTTATGTCCATCTGGGCGGGGATTACCAGTCGGCCTCCCCTCCGCTCAAGTCCCAACAACACCAGACCCAGGCAGCGTACCCGCCAGAGTATCCAGCTCCAGGCTTCACGCACGGCCCGCAGTTTAATGTGCAGTACAACAGCGCGCACACAACAGACCCACATGTGGATCTGGACGGGTTATATTTCCCTCAGAGCTGCTCTCAGGACAGAATCATGCAAGCTCCAAAACTGACTCATCTGTAGCAGACAAGATGTGAATCCCTCGACTCTCCACAAAAAAACTTTCCCTTTAATTCATAAAAGGACTTAACTGATCTGTCTTGATGCATGCATATTTCTTTTATTATTATTGATTGGACTAATTGGTCTCGAGTCTTAGTTATACATATTTATTCATCTTGTGCATTTTATATTTATTGTTGTGTTAACTTTTACGCATGGGCCACTTCTAATCATTTTGTTTCCAGGCAGTAAGGAAAATGCTGTAGCTCAAATTAAAAATGTTCGCTGTTGTTATTTCAGCTACATAAATAAAACGCAATTTGTTGAGATTTCCTCACCAGACTCTTCAGAGTAAATACTCCTCCAAGAGCCAGTATACAAAAAGAAAAAGACGACTGTAATGAAGCCAAAACGTTGGGAAAAAATGGCAAATTCCCCACTTTTTTTTGTTCCAGCTTAATTAGCACTTGAGGTCTATAACATCACATTAACTCTTACTTAATTAGGGATGAGTGTGGACGTGATAGGCTTAGGGAGATATTACATTATCGTTAAAATCTCAAGCACGACAAAAAAGGAAGAAGAAGCCAGATTAAAAAAAAAAGCCTATATGGTTCTTAAATGTGTCTTTGTTCTTTTATGGGGAAAGTGGGCCACACAAGCTGTCAATCTTTAAAAAGAGCGCATGATGGATCACTGAATTCACTGCGCTGCCTTTGAGTCAGAGTCTGTCTGCGGGATTCATGTTGTGGAAAGGCCGAAGAAATGTTTTGGTGACAAGCCAAAAGACCTCTTTAACCAAACTTACATTTAGATATATTTATAACTAGTGTCGAGGTTTCTCTCTCTAACGTGTTTTTCTACACCGAGAATTCAGATAAATGAATGCACATAATGCAAATAATTACGCCCAAACTGGATATAGGCCATAAATTAAAAAAAGGCTAATATATTTATATTTAAAAAAGAGACTTTATTACGTTGTATTCTAATTACTTGAATCCCTTGAGTGTCACAAGAATGATTTAGCAGTCTATGTAGTAACTTTAACCTCAAGGACAACAGTAATGCATGTGCCCTATTTTCTATTATTTGGAGGCCATTAACATAACAGTTATAACACTAAATCCATATTATTATTAATGTGTCTCTTGCTATTATATCTGTTCCACATATTTGTCCACATTTTAAAAAAAAAGTCTCATTAATTTGTCATTTCGTGCTCCTCTAACACTGTAGCCGGAAAATGTGCCCTGATGTTTGTGTTCTTATCAGATGGATGAGCGCGTTTGATTGAAGCATTTGTCATGTAAATGCGAGCCGTTTGATGGACGAGCCTGCAGACTTGACAGAGTGCTGTAGGTCCTCTGCCATTGGCGTTTAGCGGGTCACATGGTGTGTCAGGAAGGTGATATGAGGGTGGGAGGCAGTTTTACAGCTTTGACATACTACCTAGAAGGTCAGGGCAAAGGGAGCACCGATTAATGACTCCTCAGTCTTGATCACTTCTGAACAAACAATAGACCCAAGTCCAGCATGAACTCCTACTTAGACTACCCCGTGTGCAACCGGGGAGCAAATATTTTCAGTGCCAAGGCCGGATACCACAACTTGAACCATGGATACATGTCGTCCAACTCGTGCGCAACAAGTGATAGTTACGCACCGGACGGGCGCTTAGTTGCTGCAACTTCTGCGCCACACCAGACCCCGAGCCTCCCTCTGCACCACCAGACACACGTTAACTTGGATCTGCAGTTTTCAGCACCGGGGAACTCCATGTATGGGTCTTCCCTGGAGTACGGACACCACCAGTACGGCCTGGCGCCCGAGCAGGACCGGAGCTACATTCATGCGCAGGTTTCACCCCTTGGAACAAACATGGCTCCCTATACCGGGGACAGCTGTGGGCCTGGAGTTGCAACGGGCAGCCAGTATCTACATTTTGGAAACGGGGATCAGAGACTGCAAGAATATCCAGAGAGTGTTTACACAAGGTTACCGCCCCAAAGCAAGGAGAAGGATTTGGACCATGTGGAGGAAACTTCTAAAACATTCGACTGGATGAAAGTGAAGAGGAATCCGCCAAAAACAGGTTTGTTCATCTTCATCTCAGACAGATTTGATAATTAGAGCTGGGAGTGCTTTTTAGAGAACCCATGAGACCTCTGGAGGTAATCTTGACTCCCAGTGCGTAAACCGTGCGTAAAAACACAATTCAGCTGAAATCTAAGTGTTTTAAATTGCTCTGAAAAAATTTAATCGGCAACTAATGTTCTGTATTTGTTTCTTTCCATTCCTCACATGTTTCATTCATATCTAAAGGCCATTCTTCAGGCTTCACGACTGTCATGTTTTTCCTCCATCATCAACTCATCCATTTCTCTCCACAGCGGTCCTGTCGGAGTTCGGGGTTCCCGGCCAGCACAACGTAATCCGCACCAACTTCACCACCAAGCAGCTGACCGAGCTGGAGAAAGAGTTCCACTTCAACAAGTACCTGACGCGGGCGCGGAGGGTGGAGGTCGCCGCCAGTCTGGAGCTCAACGAGACGCAGGTGAAAATCTGGTTTCAGAACCGCAGGATGAAGCAGAAGAAACGCGAGAAACTGGGCGGCGGTTTGATCAACAGCCCGGCACCTGTGGAGAAACTCCCCAGGCCTGACACCTCTCCAAAGGGAACGGGGAAAGATTGTGAACCATGATTTGACTTTAAAAAAAAGAGAAAGACTGCTGAACGTCTCCAATTCTTTCCCTCAGTCGCACCATTCCTGAAAAACTGTGAAAAATGCATGTGGACTTGTAAAGTATATACAGGGTATGTCTGTGTCTGCTGATTATTGTGCATCTATTTCTGAATGAGAATGAGAAACTTTTTAAAAAAAATGTCTTTTCATTCGTTCTTGTGTTTGAAACCTTCCCATCATAAAAGCTCATGCAATGTTTTTGTGTTGGAGCACTGAAGAGTGCTCAGTGTCATTGTTTGCACTATTTATTTACAGGGTATTTTCCAACAACTGTTGAGATGATTTAGCTTAATAAAATCTATCAAATGGAAAAAAAACAAGTGTTGTATTTGCTGTTTATGTAAAAAAGGCTGTAATGGATGCTGATAATCCCTAATTAAGTCCTATCAAACTTCTACTTTTGATACAGAATTTGCTCCCTTTGATGAAGTCTTTTCCTATTTTTCAAAAAAATATATGTATATAATAAATTGTTCTAAATATGAATGTTTCTGAATCGCCTCACAAATTCTTTTTCTATATATATTTCCATTAATAGTCTCAACTCAAGTCTCCTTGCATAATGTGACAAGAGGAATCTTTCACAACACATGGGGTGGTTCCCAGCGACCTTTTCACCCTCAAATACCTCCAGGGGCTCTAAACATGACAACAAACTCCAGGGAGCCAGGTCTCACCCTTGATTTGTTACCCAAATTCTCCTCGGATACAGCTGACACAGGTTGCAATGACATCCACTCTTATTTTACATAATTTGAGTTAAATACTTTTTCATTAAAACAACCACATTTTAGAAGTAAGCTGATAATTTGACACTTCAACGCTCATTGTGGTTTCACCTTAAGCTAAACGTTTGCCGGACCTGACCACCTAGTTTCATCTGATGGTAAGAGGGGGCAGCAGGTTCAATATTTGCACTGGGTGTTGGGTTTGCGCACACAGTTTCTGCCCCAGCAGCACTGGCCTGTTGGTGCCCTTTTTCCTAAAGCTGAGGTTCACACAGAGTTCAGGAACAAATGAATGCAGAGTCAATCTGTCAAGACACCAGAGTGGCTTGAAAGAAGTCAACTCTAAGACTCTCGTGCTTTAGATTTTTTGCAGGTATTGCTTTTAATATTTGGAGTAAAGTGATTATAGAGGGCATTTAGTCGATGTTCTGGTTTGTGCAAACTAAAAACTAAGTTAAAGATAAGTTTCTGAAAAAGGATGCTTGTAGGAAATGGAAATCAGCAATCATTTGAAATATATCCGCATGAGTATGCAGTTCTCTCACAACTATATTAAAAATTAATACAGTTCCACTAATAGAAGTTACAGTTGAAATACCATACGGCCCATTACTGTAAATTAGAAAAGGGCTGAGAGGTTTGTTGTCATGCATTTCTTAAGTAAAAAGCTTCCTCTTCAGATGAGTCACAAGGCCAAGGACTGTGGAGGTGACAATCGATATGGTGAATAGTGACCGATTCAACAACAACAAAAAGGGGGCACGGTGTAGAAAAAGTGTGGGACTTCATTCCAGAGGTGTGATCCCTGCCATCTCTGTAGGTAATACCTCAGCGCTCCCAGCGGGCTCTCCATCTGGAGGTGTCAGAGTCGGTGCTGCAGCCAACACCGGCGGAGACAGATGTTCAGCTGGGGGAAGAGGAGGAGGATGTTTTTCACCTTCGGAGCGGCGTAGCCCTCTCTGCCTTCTGCCGGAGAATGTAGGGCAAGGAGAGGAGAAGAGCAGAAAATGGTTAATGAACACTATGGTTACAAAAATAATCAAAAACTCCACAGCGTGAACACCCGACTGCACAAACATGAGGTCTATTGATGGATACAGCAGCCAACCCTCTTTTACTCCTCTGATATCTTGCACATCTTTAGCCAGCCCCCTCCCCTCCGCACTTTGTTTGAGGTCAACCCAGTGCTGTTTGTACCCCATGCTGCTTGCAGTTGTTGCAGGCTCTTTTACAAGTCTATTGCCAGGCTCACTTCCTTGGTTTTCTACCAGTTCCTCTGTCGCATGTCACTCTGCAGGGTCCCGAGGCTTCAAAGGGAAACTAGATACAGTATTCATGGGAAAAGGGGGGGGTTGGTCATCTAAGAGATACCACAGAGGAGTCATTTTTATTGGCAGATATCAAACACAGCTACTTAGGTTTAACGCCCTTTATCACATATACAGTTTGTACTCTAGTACGCTGACAGGAGACACGTAGATGAATGGAGAAGGAGCATCTGTTGAAGTGCAAGAGAGAAATTTCCATTAAACTGAGCAATATTGACAATATGTATAAATATAAAACATGTCAGACCTTTTCAGGGACAGAAGATAAAGTCGTATTTCCATCATTGTCCCTGGTGTTTTATTACGGTCCACCAATGTTTATCAAGACGGAGAAAGGACCTTTCACGACAGGCCAAAGAAATACTGCAACAAACGATCACTTGTTCGTTATCGATTCATTTGCAGTTTATTTTCTCGATTAAATCATTTTGATTTGTAAAAACGCCAGAAAAGCGTGAAAAAGGCCAAATCACAATTTCCTAAAAGTCTTGTTTTTGTCCAAAATCAAAAAAATACTCAATTTACTATAATGTAAAAATTAAAAAGCAGCAAAGTATGACACTTAAGAAGCATCACATTTGACATTATTAACAATTTTAATGAAAACAATACTTTTAAAGCACTTTTTTAAGAACATGACAAAGTGTTGTTAATAAAAAGAAAGTAAAGAACTCATAAACAGTCACATGTGTTGTTTATTTTTTTATTATTGCTCATCGTTGTGGAGAAATGTTGCCTAGTTATGAATGGCACACTCTTCCTTTGTTGTGGCACTGAGGCTCTTTTTAGCCCAGACTGGGAGATTCTTGACAACCATCCCCCATCCCGGTCAGGCTCTACTGGATCTGGAAGCACCAGCCGACCTGAAGCAGCAGCCTCCCGGGTCCCTCTTCCACTGCATCCTTTCCCCACTCCATCAGCATAGTAACTGAGAGAGACAAGTGACTTGGCCAGGGTTAACGTCTTAATACTCCCTGGGATTGCCTCCAGGATCCAAACGGCTACCCCTAATAGTTTTCCTCCTCCGTGTGCCTGTCAGACCGCCATGACTATATGCTGTAAGAAAAACAAGACTGGCTGAGAGGCAGAGTAACGAAGCAGCACGGTGAAATAATGAGGGGCGGTGAGGAAAGAACAGAGCGGCCGTGAAACGTTCGGTGTAAAGAGGCGAAGTCGGAAGCTCGGGGACTGAGCCGGGATACTTTGCATGGAGAGCCTGTACACTTGAAATTAAACCGGCTTCTTCCCTTAGAGCCCAGGAGGAGGAGGAGGAGGAGGAGGAGGAGGAGGGGGAACCAGAACTCAATCAGTGTCACGTCACATGGTTCAAAGCGGCCAATTCGATGCTGCCAAGAGGCTGAGAAATGCAAGGTGACAGTTCATTTTACCAGTGACAGTGTGTCGGTCTCGCTTGCTGGTTCCCCAGTCAATTCCCAGCGAGCAGTGAAGGTTGAGTGTTGCTGCAGACAGACAGCAGCTCCCTCCCTCCTCCTCCTCCTCCTCTTCCTCCTCACTACCACCACCACTCTCTCATCGACCCCGCTCTGCTTTGTATTCCAATTAACTGGACAGAGGGAGAGGCGGCGGCGTGCAGGATCACAAACGCAGGCAGACACATTTTTTCTGGCGTCCTTCCAGTCTCTCAATCCCAACACTATCAATAGCTCGGTGCTTTCCCCTTCTCCTTACCTTTCTCCTTTTTCCTTACCTTCTCCCCTTCTCCTTACCTTCTCCCTTTCTCCTTCTCCTTACCTTCTCCCCTTCTCCTTTCCTTTCCCCTTTTCCTTCTCCTCCTCTCCTTGGTTTATGACAAGGGCCAGTTGTTCCAGGGGGGGGGGGATAATTCATAGATTCTTCTTTAACAACTGCCTCTAGGGACAATGTCTTGGTAATGAAAAATAGGTCTCTCTCATACATTCATACATCACACGTAATAGAGGTGTGCAATCACTCAGTCGAGTCAACGCACGGCGAGCTGTAACTGCTATCCTTAACAGACACCTCAAATAATGCTGAATTAATATTTTGAAATGGCTCATATATTCTAACATAATACAATTTGAATGATTTTATATTCAATGCTCACAGGGCTAACATTGATTTGAGTACTGAGGTATCCCTCCACACACACACACACTTCCAGAGT